GAAAAAAATTTAATCGGAAAAAATACCTCAAACTTAACACTTTTTAGTAGGTGTAAGGTCATTTGCTTTTCCCCCCGCAAGGCCTCTACCGCAATCAAATCATTAAATGCGTGGGTTTCAGGATACTGCTCAAGTTACCCGGCCTCATAAGCACTGCTGTATTTTACAATGGTGATGTGTTGTTTAGGAGAAGAAAGGTAAAAATAAGATATTGAGAGCAAAATCAGCAATGAATTAAGTGCTTGACGCACCTGAATCTAGAAATAAGTTCAATAAAGTATGACGCCACCTCCGTTATGACCCTTGACTATTGTAATGTATTTATAGTGCTCCAGTGCCTTATATGTTATCTGAACTTACGGATCCGGGATCTTGTTTCTAAAGGAGTGGGTGGGGCGAGGGCAGGATGTGAACTGTGCCTCGCGTTGCAGTACGTTGTCGAGGACAAGCGTACTGTAATATGTAGGGCAAGTAATAGGGATGAAAAAATTGCTAGGAATTTTCGATTTTCGCTGGTTTTACTCCATTTGGAAAGGAAGAACGAGACGAAGAGTATACCACCGATGTAACTGGTGGGGTGGTCTATTGCGCAACACCCTCCCCCCCTGCGGATCTGCCCTTGCCCCCCCCCCCCCAACAAATAGCTAGAAAAGAGAAAGGTCCTCCCCCCCAGCAGTTGCACCTACACCCCCCTTAGTAAGATAAAAGAGGGGTCCTCCCCCCCCCCCCCTTGCAAATCAACCAGCGTGAAGGTTATTCACTGCAACAGGCACAAAAAATAGCAAATAATGGTCTAATGTTCCTTCGCCTGAGCCGTCAACTCATCACCAATATAATTAGGTCTACCATTTTATAGCACAATCCCTTCGACCGCCTCCCCCCAATAATTCTGGAAACAGCCGTGAAATCAACGTCAACGTGACAGGCGCGGCGAGGAAAGTCCACAAGTTGTGGTCTTGTGTTGTTTAATTCCGGGTAGTGACCTTTAAGACAATATGGCCTATAGTAACTCCTTGAAATTAGTTATATTATACTATACTCGTTTGTAATAATTCCTGTGTCATATTTCTATGTCTACATGAATTGCGAAACTTATATTCGTTCCCAATTGAGACATTATATTTCAAAGCAATAAAACCATTAAAGTAAAAGTAGGTAACTAGGTTTTTAACTAGAAATTGTACAAAAATTAAAATCCAATCACAGGGACGAGTCTAGCAATGATACGAATGCAGGAACAACTACCTTTTACCTCGGCAAAAATTAGATATGCCGCAAAAATTGCAAAAGATTCTAGATAGCTCACATTTTAGGTGTTACTTATCAGTACAAAGTTGCGCCACGCGTCACGGCCTTCATACAAACATTGGTAAATAAACGATACACAAAGTTACCCCCTCACGGCCCCTTATCCCTCCCCGATGTTCCACCTCACGCCCCCTATCCCTCCCCGATGTTTGCTTGAATTATTTCACCGATTAAATGATCTCAACAAGGAAGTACGAAGCAAACCATTTACGCAAATTCAATTGTTTGGACACTCCGGCACGCACCTCGGGGTGGCACGGTGGAAGGTTGTGTAGGGCCTCTATCGCGGCGTATGACGGGGTTTGTGGCTGTCTTCACGGTCTGAAAGCGTGCCCGTCCACACTGCGGTTGTATCATGGGTTCTGACGAGGACAAAAAGCCGACATTTTATTTGGTCCGTTTTATTTCCTTGTGATAATCAGTTTTTTTTTTATTTGCTGAGGTCAATTGTTTTATTAGTTTCAGGCTGTCCTTCCTCCCTTTCAGGAAGGTATGAAAACTTGTGTAGTTTATATCTTTCACCAAGGGTCTTATACAAATGTCCTTGCCTTAAGAGAGGCTTGTTTTTTTTTTTTTTTTTTTTTTTTTTTTTTCAAATGAGACGTACTCAAGCTAGTTTGTAAATGATAAATACTGAAATTTTTATTCGTGAAAACTACGTAACACTCCACAAAAGAGAGATGAAGCAAATTATTGAATTTTTAATATACATTTGCATATTAAATTCTCTCTCTCCCTCTCTCTCTCTCTCTCTCTCTCTCTCTCTCTCACCAGATGTATACGTCATACAGAACCGGCTGTATTAATCACAACTCCATAATTAGAAAGCAGAAACAATCAACCCGGAACAGCATGGTAATTTTAAACTAACTCTCAATAACGCGCACCATTACATCCTATTTGAAAATTGGTTTGAGTCAATTTTCTCGGCAATGCAAGCCAAAAAAAAATTGCTATGTAGTTTTTTTGGTCTAACAATTTTACTGAAAAAACCATAAGTTTGTGTGGGATTATTTGGACATTTAATCATCTTAACTTTTCCTTTAAAAATGGTAACCTGTGCTTTAACCTCTGAAACATGTTACATCGCTTTAGAATATTTTTCTCCTGTTCACATATTGGAAAAATTTTCCTAGAAGTAACGAGTATTGATGTTTTCACTCGGCAATACCCATGTGGAGAACAAAGAGATAAAGAAGCTATAAAAATTCTTTCAGATGCCAGGTTATGGCGTTTATTGCATTCTTTCGCTCCAAGACTACCTCTTACATGTATGTTATTTTGATAAACGCACTCACATGAATCAAGCTGAGGGCCAGTGAATGCATATGTCACAGCAAAATTACTCCTGTATTATTTTTTAGTTTGTTTTTCCACTCTCTC